AGGGGTCTTACAGAGTTGGGCTCGGGGCTTCAAAATGCTTAAATCCGACCCCGTGTCCTACACAAAATTACTGGCATTTTAAACTTTAACAAAATATGTTTTAAAATTGACGGCGTAACTTGTTCGTGTAAAGTTGGATAATCGGGAAACTGCCAATTCTTAACAGTCTAATCCACTCTTTCAGAATTCATAAATATAACCCATCAATTTCCGAATAATCATCTGTTTTCCCCGTTTTTCGTGTGGGAATAGACGAAAACTTAAATCAGGCTCTCGTAAGGCTTTAAAATTGCAATTTGGAACCAACAGTAAGCGTTACTTTTTCTATCGCTTTTCATCATTACCGCTGATAATAGACAAGAATGAATCAAACGACCCAGATAGAATAGTTTTGTTTTTAAACACCAGACGGCGAGCATCCGGTGAAAATGCGAATTAAATTTTAATGATTACAGGTGGGGGAGATAAAGGAGATCGCGTGTATCTCGAGTAGGGTTGGACTTAATAATCATTTTACTCGTTATTAGCATTTGCAATTTTTTACAAAACCCACCCCTACTCGAAAATTAAGCTTTTTGCCATTTTATAATAGTTAAAAATATAAAATTTTTTACACAAAATGTCATAACAGATGGCGTCGCCAAACGTCGCCCGGAAAGTTAAGCAACTCGTTGATGGATTTTTTAAAATTACAGTATATGTTATTTAGAATAACTCTTTGTAAGGCTTTAATAATCATACAAATATAAAAATAAAAATATTATCAAACATATTTTTCTTTCTTCTTCTAAAAAAAATAAATAAGTAAAAATATTTTGTTAAAGTATTTATTTTGAATTTTTACATTAAACTCGTTGTATTTTAATGTAAAAATGTAATAATTTTTTTATCAATTAACATAACTTATGTTAAATTAATTAGTCTAAATTTTGCAAATGAAAATTTTATTTCATCTTCTGCATTTTTAACATATTTTTGCAGAAAAACATGAAATAACATTTTTTTTTAACTGCAACAACAATCTATTTATTATACAAAGAAAATCTCATATCTGTAATATACATCTGGAATGTTACAATCTAATATTTTCAATTGATGGCCTTTACAAATCTCCAGCAAACATTTTCGCTTCTCCATGTCTAACAAAATCCATTGGATGACAAACTATTCCTCTCTAGATCCAAGATAATATATATAAACAATTATTAAAGTTTAAATTAATTTATTTAAACAGCAATATAAACCGTTCGCCCATATATATATTTATAGTTGCCTTCTTCGTCAAAATTTAAAATTTCTTCACGACAACCGAAATTATAAAACATTTTGTTGCAAAATAAGCTATTCTTTATTGATAAGAAAGGAATGACTAGATGATTTTCTAATGATTCGAGGACTAGTTCTTCTATCTCTTCTTTTTTTATAAACAAAGTTATAACTTTTATTATAAGGAATGTTACCTTTTGAAGATGGTATTAAATTACAATATCACAGAAATTATATTTAATTATCCTGTTTAAAACATTTTTTATATACATTTAAATCTTTTGCTCTACTTTAAAAGCTTTTGCGGACATTGTAGAATTTTATAATTTGCTTTGTGTCATTTGCTTAATGTCTAATGTGCAATAGGCATAATGTCCAAATCAAAATAAACAATAAAAATTCTTTTCCCTAATGCAAAATAAAATAAAATTCACTAAAAAATTTAAATTTATAACAACTTTTTAAACTAAACGCTAATAAACTTCACAAAATAAATAATATGTTAGTGTTTTTAACACAGATTCTAAGGAAAAAAAATCACTAATAATTTTTTTATATATAACTTTAACGTAGGAAATTCTAATATTTGA